CCGCCAAGTGGACGAAGAAAATGTTGATTGTCCTCGAGCCTCGGGGATCGTTAAAAACACCTTGCCGGACGGGTACATATAAATAACTAGAAAAACAATTTTCACTGTAATTGCATATGTGCACAGAGAATACAGTAATGGCGTATGTCAAAGTACAAACTCACCATAAAGACAAGCACAAAAACTCGGTATCTACACCTATCGCTGCTCCCATACGTCACATCATTTCTCTACGAATCGGTTTCCTGTGTATCCACGAGATAGGTAAGTATGTCTCCCGCGGCAGCTGAGAGTCTGAGACCGGTGATATTCCCCCGAATGGCGCGACCTCGAGATGAGCGTAGGATCGGAAAGGATGCCAGCGTATATGGGGGTTGTATGATGGGGGTGTTCACAGTCGACAGCAACCTGAGTATATAGTTCCGTATGGGGTAATCTTCTGCGGGTACTGAGATCACAAAGAGGCATCTGATCAAAGTATATGTCCCGATGGTCCGTTATGTGAATGAGACATTTTAGTAGACAACCAGTAAAGGGTCTCAGGCCGCTCTTTGAGGTGTATAATAAATACAAGAGGGGTTTCAGGTGTGAGACAGAATACGAGCGTCGAGTGGCCGCCGTTGGCAACGTGCTTCAACGTGGCGGTAAGTATGGACTTCTATAGACTGTTGCCGATGGGTGGATTTTATGTTGTCAGTTGGGACTAGCGTCGCCCTCGAAACCCGAGTCGGGCGGAGTTCATTACACCTTTAAAAGGCAAAGGCTTTAGAATGTAACAGGTGCAAACAACGCCGGCAAATCAAATCATGATGAACATCACTGGGGCCGACGCATCAGGAACCTGGAACCAAGTTGACGTATTACTTAACCCAGGATTACCGACCAGTTCTCAGTAACTCCAAACCACCCCTACACAGTACCTCATAGCTCCGCGCACAACATCCTCCACCATATTTCTCTTCAGAACAGCTTTGAACATGGCAGGGAAAAGAAGGGCGATATCGCCGGTAGGCCTGGTTGCCAAGCCCAGTCCTTTCAACCCTTCAGTTACCCTCTTCACGGCAGGCGGCAGTGATACCTCAGTCTCGAATGAGCTGAGACGATCCAAGCGAATTAAGACAGAAAGGACTGACGTCGCGGTCAAGGAAGAAGAAGGCGCATCGACCCAGTTGCCCTTTGTGGCCACCACAAAGCGAACGAACAAGGGCCATATAGTTCCTTCTACATCTTTGTCTACATTGGAAGTAAAAGTGGAAGAACTAGATTCTAATGTGGCCACCGCGACACGTGCTGCGACACCCAGAAAGAAAGCCAAGGTTAAGCGTGAGCCGTCGACGTCACCACGTAAACCGAAACCTATACAGAAATCCCTGGATATTCCTCATCCTGCTCCTCCACATTGGAAGGAGGTGTATGATATTATTAAGGGCATGCGCTCAAAAATTGCTGCACCTGTAGATACAATGGGGTGTGATCAAGCCCAGCTGAAGGAGACCGACCCGAGGGTATGATTCACAGTTCTTTCGTGTCGATGTTTCCTCTCCGGCTAATGATTATGCTTGTGCAGGGTCGCCGGTTTTCTACTCTTGTGTCTTTGATGTTATCATCGCAGACCAAAGACGAGGTGACAGATGCAGCAGTCTCGAAACTAAGAGATGTTCTTGGCGGGAGTCTCACCGTCGAGGCCGTTCTTGCAGCGGATGAGTCTGTCATAGCTGAGGCTATTGCCAAAGTAGGATTTTGGCGTCGCAAGACTCAGTCAGTTGGGCAGACCTTATACTATCAGCTAACCCCGACTGATCCCATTGCGCTATTGGCGTTCTCCTTGTCAGATACATTAAGCAGACAGCTCGGAAGCTCAAAAATGAATTTGATTCAGACGTGCCCAAGACGGTTGATGAACTCTGCTCGTTGCCAGGTGTGGGGCCTAAGATGGCCTTCCTTGCCTTGCAGGTCGCTTGGAATATGTATGTCACGAAAACAGTTCCCGAAAGCAGACTGATGGTACTTATTTACGACATCGCTATAGCAATGTCGGAATCGGAGTGGATGTCCATGTTCATCGCATCACAAACCGACTCGGATGGCATAAGCCTCCGACGAAAACGCCTGAGGAGACCAGGTGTGTGAAGGGCTTTGATATCCTATGTGTGTTGTGATACGAGCTCACATCGGACTACCAGGTTGAATTTACAATCATGGTTACCTACGGAACTTCACCCGGAAATTAACCACCTTCTAGTTGGCTTCGGACAGGTGCGTCTCGCTCACCTTCGTAGCAATGTATGGCTCCGACTCACTTATGAGACTTCAGACCATCTGTACCCCCGTAGCACCTCGTTGCGATGCGTGTGAACTCAGCACTACCGGTTTGTGTCCGAGTGCTCGCAAGGTTACGAAAACGAAGAAGACACAGAAAAAGGGCACTGTCGCCTCCGCTGGGCCGAGGCTCGAGATTTCGCTAGAAAATACTGAGGAAACGAAGGCAGTTCTGGGATCACCCCCGTCTCCATTATCCGACGTCGACTGAGATGTGCAAGGGCGGGGTTTATACGAATATCAAGGTTACTCTAGTCTTGAACATAAAATCTACGCTACACGGTTCTATTAGTCCAACACTTTTCTTCTCGCCTTGCTCTTCTTTGCTCCTATTTGGCTTTCGCGCACCACGTTGTACATTGCATATTCCACTGTACCGCCATACCACTATTCTTCATCTCTTGATCAAAGCAATCCTAACGCCATGTCCCAGAAGCCTCTTTCTAGTGTCGTACACCGCTCCCAAACGCTGAGCCACTGTGCCAACCTGGACGGGGAGGGAGGGTCGTTGACGGCCATAGCTTCAAGTGTTTCTATTCAAACAATACCATCGTCAGCGGACACCAACAGCTCAATCTTCTGGCTGCGACATACCTATCCCGGTTTTGACAGCACTTTGGTAATCTTCTCCCGAATAGTCCTCGATCCACTTGAGGTATGGGTTCCCATCGAGTACCACCCACGAGTTTGGCTTGCGCGATTCGCTCTTGAGCCATAGTCCGACTTCACCATACCCCAGGAGACAAGCTGCAACAGCCATGAGCAGCTTGTTAGTGTCACCTATATAACCCCCGTCAATGCGGGTCTACTCCTCGGACAGTGACACGTCCCTACATACCCTGCAGGCCGATATCGAGGATGTATGCCCCATACGCCGTTGTAGCTGGCGATTCAGGCGTCCTCAGCAATTCATCTTCGGTGATTCCCCATTGCGCACAAAAGGCTTTGTGGGTGTTCACTTCATTGATCACGTTGATGATTGTCTTCGTCGCAGCGTCAATCGCAGGGAATGTTGTTGACTTTGCTGCCAACAGACTGTTGAAAGTTCAAGGGGAGTAAGGAGCCATCAAACAACATGGAAAGCTCAAAATACGTGCGCGTAAGCTCTGGCGTAGTATCTCAGATATAGATAGTCTTGCCTGCACGATATTAGATACCAGCACAGATGCAGAGAACAGAGAGCGCACTTGATGAAATGAAGGAAGCATTCTCGCGGTAAAGTTCCCTTCGCAAGTTGCTTGACAAATTCATGTTCAACGTAACTTTTCCAGACACTTGCACACGACTTGATAAGCAAGCGGATGAATGGATGCGGGACACTCTTCGTAGGTCTATCAAGCACAAGCTCTGGATTAACGCGAACAAACGCCAAGAACGAAAATAGACCAACGTTGGAATAGCCCGAAGGAGAATGGGGTGCATATGGTTGAGAGGTCCATAGCCATTCCCGATCTTACCGGCTGTTTCAATCCCGTGGTGGGTGTATGTTGTCGCGGCATGAATAGCATCCACAACTTGAAAGGAACGTCAGATGGCGATTGATAGAGAATACTGAACATGCTCAACGTGTTTCCCCTTTAGCGAGCCCCGACGCGATAGCTGCTGAAAGGGTGCACCCTGTCCCGTGTGTGCTTGTCGAGTTGATCCTCGGTCGAATGAATAAAGTATATTCTTCGCCACCCTGGTGCAACACGTCCACAACCAGTGGAAGGTCCGACCTGTCCTCTTCTGCGCTTTGCAGGATTTCCATGTTTTCGTCTAACAGGCCGGCTCGTATCACATGGACATTCGCGTTGGTCAATGCGTCGACATCTTTCAATGAAGACACGAGATGTCCTCCTTTAAGCAACACGGCACGGGGACCCAAGGTCAACAGGTTCTTGGAAGCATGCAGCATGTCTTCTAAAGTGACGATCTCCGACGAAGAGAGCTTCCTGTTCGACAAGAGCAGCTCGGCTTCGGACTTGTTTGGCGTTATCAAACTAGTTATGGGGAACAATTCTGAAATCATCACGTCGACCGCTTCTGGATGTAAGAGTGTATGTCCGGAGGTCGAGACACATACAGGGTCGCATACGAGATGGGGAATGTTACCCTCACTCCCATAGTGCGTCTTGAGAGTGCGCGCCACAGTACGGACAATGTCAGCATCGAACAACATGCCCGTCTTCATGGCTTGTACAGAGACATCGTTGAGCACCGAAGTCAGCTGGAAAGTATGTGAGAACGCTCTCCTTAGGGATGGAGCAGTCTCCTTGCTTCGGAAGGAAAGATGAGACAAACTTGTTGAGCGACAAAGTCCGGTGGACAAGGATGTACCCCCTGCACACCCGTCGTGTTCTGGGCAGTTAATGCCGTGATTACACTTGTTCCATAGCAGTTACTTGTTGTAAATGTCTTCAGATCTGCCTGCAAGATCTCGGTGTGAAGCGGCCAGTTCGACACATAGAGTGTGAGAGAATCGATACCTGAATACCTGCACCACCGCTGGGGTCTGTCCCGGCTATGGTCAGTACCACTGGGTGCTCTTCCATTCGTTCGGAGGAAGAAGAGTCAGTCAGTCAAAATCAAAATTCACCCAATTGGCGACTCGGACTCGCTGAGAATTAGCCTTGAGTCGGCAAGGCAAGAGGGAAGTCCCTTGCATTTCTATAGAGATCAAACGATTCATAATTTGGCAAGCATTCATGGTGTAGCGGTAACATTGGGTCTTCCCATGGCCTAGCTCCGGGTTCGACTCCCGGTGGATGCATTTTTGTTACTAATTCTGCGTCTTATGGGACAATGTCAAGACAACATAACAGCATCTATTTTGTATCTGTTGCTTCGCTGTTGTCTCTTTATTTTACAATGACTGCTGACTTTGCCGGCAACATTTTTCTCTCTTTAAGAGATCCTTAGAGTCACGTGAGTTCTATCGCGCGCGCTTGACAATGAAGCGAAAGTCGCAGTTCGCGCGACGCGACGCGTCGTGTTCAGAATTAAACGCTCGTTTCGCATTCCTCTGCATTGTGCAAGGACGTCGATAGTCCTAGCACTTACACCCATAGTTCTCTGCGCCTGCGCGTATTCTTATATATACAAAGGAGAACCTGCCGAGTTACGCAGACATGGACACAGGCGACAACCTGGATCAAGGGCCTCGTCGTTCCGCTCGCATTCAAAACAACGCTCAAGGTGGGACGTCGAGTGCAGCGCAACAATCAAACAACCAAAACTCTCGCAAGCGGCGCAAGCAACAGGATGACGCTAGTGTAGATGACACAGGGTCTCAGTCCAGAACGCGAGCAGAGAGGTCGCAAAGCGAGGCGCAACTTCCTGCTAATGAGCTTTCTGACATCCGTCAGCAACGATTCCGACAGTAAGTTTTCTTCTCATATTCAAAAATAATCAAGTTAAAAGCTGTGTTTTTGTGCAGAATCATTGACAAGTTGGAGTCATACGGCTTAGCCAGGGAATTTGACTTCATGAACGAGGAAGAACGAAAGCAGGCAATGGCGCAGCCATGGGCGAAACAGAAGAAGCTCCTCACCGATCGCAGTATGTTTATAGTCTTACTTCTGCTTTGCGATCTAATCTTTGAATGCAGCCTGGACCAACGTGGAACAAGCGATGGTACAGTACTTCAGAGAATATCAGTACCAGAGATCGATCCGTGAACGCCTCAGACTACTCAAGTCCATTGTGCACGACTTCGAACTAAGCCAGCCCATGGGCGCCGTGCTTCCCGGTGTCATCGACTTTGCCTATTTGCCTCCTATCCTCGCAATTCTGCAGTTGCCCGTAGGCACGCAGGTAACAGCTGACCACTTTGCTGCATTTGTTCCTCGTATGCATGATCTTGCCACGCGCTGGAAGAAGGACATGGTGGAGGTCGTTTGTCGCAAAACCATTGAGGCAACCGCGCAAGACATCCCGCAGATCCGCGCATTCCTAGATGCCTATGAAGAAGAGGCGACCAATGCGGCGACCGCTTCTGACGAGATATGGGTCCCCTCAGATAAATTGCAACGCACTCTAAACGACGCGTGGACGTGGCTTGAATCCAGTGGTTATTGGTATTCATGTAACCCTGGCCGACATGATATATTCACCTGTCATGGCGCCTGCGGTTCGCCGGGATACGTATGCGTTGTTGGTTTCCCTCGCATACTGACGCATCGCTGCATGAAGAAGAGCAGACACTGGTACAATATGATTTTTGAATATCTTCCGGAAGGTGACGTCTTCCAGGAGATCTGCTATTCGGAGTTGCACGAACGCCCGTTGGTGAACGCGCTAGAAGAGATAGAGCTCAATAGGTTCATCACAGAAAATGCTGGGCGTACACTCTTTGGCACAGACGATACCTCATTCCGCCCTCAAGAGTGGGACGACCTGGACTACAGGTTTACATGCGAACCTTGCGGCAGGAATAAAAAGTGTTGGCACGGGATGACCTGGAGGAGAGCGGTCAGTGTCTTCTCCCACTCAGCCGAATCTACCTGTAGTACAACTGATTTCGGGTTGCTAGGCTGAACATATGGTCTCTGCTGAGCACCAGAGATGGCAGATTCCTGTTGGGGAGGGGTTCAAAAGGCTGAACGATGACCTTACAGATCAAGTCAAGGTTCTTGAAAGAGATTATTTAGCAAAGTCACGCACTGGTTGGGAGTCGCATACTGGGGATATGTTCTCTTCTGAGGGATTCGCATGCGGTATATGCCGCTCCAACCAACACATAAATTCACTCCCAAGAATTCGCACACACCTCATTGAAGAGTATGTTGCGCAATCTTCGAATACACAGCTTACGTTGAGACTGATTGTGATCGTCGTTTCAGACATAACTTGCCAGAAAACACCGATTTCCGTGAAGGATTGCATTACTATGTGCATCCTGATACGCCTTTCACGACAGAAAACCCTCCTTCGGTCAAACTCACCCCTCCAATGGTCAAGAAGCTCAAAAAGTGGATGGAATAGGTGCTTGATGAAGGCGGGCTGTCGCTTTTTCCTGGTCGTTCCAATATTGTTTGTGAAGTATCCTCTTGCGATGGTGCTCAAATCAGTCTGTTATCCTCTTGAATGCAATAGGTCTTCACTATGACATGATTCGGACATTCGCGTCGCCGCTGCTCCAGATTATTCTTACCGAAATTCACTCCAGGCGCATATTCTGCGGAATTTGCAAGAATAGAACGATAATGATACCTGGACCGGATTGCTTCCGGTCCAATGGCGATTCGGTCAGCTGGTGCCAGCTAACAAATTCTTTGTACAGGCTTGTTCTGGCTAATATTCCAGTCCTAACACCGTTTTGGTCTCGTGCCCATAGCGACATGGACGAACTCGAGGTATGCATATGTGCATTCTCATATGGTCTCACCATTATACTCTGTTCTGACATGGTCTGATCACTTTCAGACTTGTAGTCACCCGGGCCACAGGGATATTTACGGCGCGCCGGAACGCGATCACGAGGTCTTGACGCAACCTCCGCGTCCCAACTTCTGGCATGCTCGAAGCGTAATTGATCCCAAAAGCACCGTTCTATCAATGTGCACAGACTCTATTATTACCACGGAACTTTCTCGGATGAACAGCTGGTCAGTCACGAGTTCGGGCAATTCTTGGAATAGATGGCCTCCCGACGTTACATCGACGACTTCGACGGACTAATAATTAACAGATCTCGCCTAGGAATTCGTTCATAAGGAGGCCGTCTTTTCGTGCTCGTACGTTGTTCTTGTGCATACCCAGGGAAAGGGGCTGTGGTAAGATGGGTATCCGGACGTTCTTCTCCCTCGCCCTTCTGCTGAAGGTCTGCCAATTGATCGCCATCGTTGGGGCTCTTCAACCAATCCCGCAAAATGGACATTGGGTCGATGCCTGGACCTGTACGTTATTCCACTTTCAACCTTGACAATCAAACATAATGATGAGAATACAGCAATGCCCCAATTGACGGAAACGTCAAACTTACCTCCGACACCATTTGTGAGCATATATTTATTTCGTAATGTATGCTCTAAATTGACCCAGGGTCAATGTAACAGACCCAACCCAATGTCGTATTCAACAATGCCACCCTCCGGCAGACCGTACACCTCTCTACCAGTACCAAGCAACTCCGCATCCGTATCTCGAACGCATTCGGAACCACCGACTTGCCTATTACCGCCGCAGCAATTGCACTCCCATTGAACGGTACCCCAGGATCAAATGCTATAGTTCCGGGTTCTGTTCAAAATCTTACCTTCAGCGGGAACTCTTCCATCATCGTACCCAATGGAGCTCTCGTTGTTTCTGATCCGATTGAGCTCAAGACGGCACTCCCTGCTGATTCTATGCTTACCATCGATCTGTTCCTTGCTACTGGACAGACGACGAACAATATTACCTCACATCCTGGCAGTCGGACTACGTCTTTCTTCGCAAATGGGAAACACGTTGGAGCACAGACGGTTACCGGGTCTAGTGCGGAGCATTGGTGGGTATTTGGTCGATCGCTTTGAAGTTTGAGGAAGCTGAGTGTCTCTATACAGGTACTTCCTGAGTGCTGTAGAAGCTTGGACTTCTCCAAGCATTCGTTCCCTCTCCATTGTCGGTGACAGTATCACCGATGGACGAGGAAGTACGACGAACGGAAACGACCGGTATGTACCAATTGTCAGATCTTATACAGTCCAGTCTCTAACAATCTTCACAGCTGGCCAGATCAACTCCTAAACCGGACCCTCGCCAACCGTGCTACTGCCTCCATCTCCATCGTCAACCAAGCCGCAGGTGGTAACCGAATCCTCCTCGACGGTCTCGGTCCCAACGCACTCGGTCGTATCGAACGAGACGTCCTCTCGCATCCCAATGTCGGCTTCGTCATGATCTTCGAAGGAACCAACGACATCGGAACTGGGATCCCCAACGTCGCCGACCGCCTCATCCAAGCTTTCCAACAAATCATCACCCGCGTACATACCGAAGGTCTCCCCATATTCGGTGCGACCATCACTCCGTTCTTTGGAAACGCGTACTTCACGACTGTGAATGAGGCTGCGAGGCAGAAGGTGAATGATTGGATTAGGAAGAGTGGGAAGTTCGATGGTGTGGTTGATTTTGATTTGGCTGCGAGGGATCCGAACCAGCCGAATAGGTTGAACCCTTCGTTCGATAGTGGAGATGGCTTGCATTTGAACCCGCAGGGGTATAAGGTGATGGCGGATGCGGTCGACTTGAACTTGTTCACCAGGTTTGCGAAGGGTGTAAATGGATTCCAGTAGTTGAGGATATCTAGAGAGTAAATGAAGAATCTTTTGGGTTTCACATTGCGCACCTTATTCAGTCGAGCTCGTGAAGACCAAACCAAGACAATTCGACATAGGATATTGTTGACAAAAACGATGGATGACCAGCGCATCCCTATATTTCAAACTATCTCATCAAAAAGCACACGGTGTACATGCATACAGACATGACCTTCAGTCCAAACCAGCAGCCCACAGCCCACGAAAGTAAGCCATGAGCTGAAGGAAAGGAATGCGAGATACAACTAGCAACCAGCGATAGAAGCGTAAACCCAAGTTACGCTATCGATTCAAACCAGCACCATCAATTCAATCAACAGCGATAAAAGAGCAAGAGCAGTGAGAAGAAGATAAAGCAGGAGCAAGTGAGATGAGACAAGGATAGGAAAAGCATCAAGCTCGTAAGAAGTAAAGAAAGCAGGAGAAAAGACAGCGAGGTAGGAACTCCGAAGAGTCTACCGTCCGTTAG